TTCCGGCCGCCCGCTGCCGTGCGCGTCCGGTTCCGGCCGCCCGCTGCCGTGCGAGTCCGTTTCCGGCCGCCCGCTGCCGTGCGCGTCCGGTTCCGGCCGCCCGCTGCCGTGCGCGTCCGGTTCCGGCCGCCCGCTGCCGTGCGCGTCCGGTTCCGGCCGCCCGCTGCCGTCAGCATTTTTTTTTTTGAAACATGGGCCTTGCATGTTTATCTGAACATCTCCTTGCCAGGAGACGTCTCTACATTTGCTTCTCTTGAAATCTGAGCAGCTCATGGTCCAGGTCCTGTAACGTTGTAGTCTCTGCAGTGCCTGCATCACACCAATATGCTAGGATGCCACACCCTCCAATGGTGTAGACACTGAGGCTGCAGGACTCACAGAGGTGGACGGTGTGACCAGAATGGCAGGTGTTAAGACGTTTTGCAGTCCCATGTAAGGAAACTGCTGTGTTTCTAGACTGGGCTTTAGGAAAGAGCTTATGTCCAACTCCCTCATCCACAGAGTCAAGATCAAGTTTCCTGTCCCTGGCTAGTGAGGGAGGGTGATTATAACTCAGCTAAACTGCAAGAATCTCTGGAACACCTGCTATCTCCTCTCATCCTTATATCCTGCATCTCTGAGATTTGTCCTTTCTCTTTTAAACTTTAAGGGGCTGTTAAACTAGTTTTCTTTTTCATGGGTCTTCCAGGTTTTGAATGTGTGGGGGGTAGAGCAACCCAGGAACACATGCCATTGGGTGCTTTGCCATGTTCACTAGCCCCATTTCTGTGTTTAGAAATCCATACTATGTAGGCTGATCTGTCTCTTGGATTCTCTTTAAAGTCCTGGAAGTCAGGGTGCTGGCAGATCAGCTCTGAGGCAACAGACATGGATGCTGACAGACAAGACACCACTTTTAGTCTTGGCTTTACCCCCCTCCAACTGTACAGTTCTGAACATGTTCCCGAGTCATATTCATCAGCAAACATGGATTAAAAACAATTTACAAAGAGTTGTTATGAATATCAAATGATCAGATAAATTCAGAATATGTTGTAACATTTACAGTGTCTACAAAAACTATATATATACACACATACATAAACACATACAATATATAAACACATATAATATATAAACATATATAATATATTTTAAAATTTATTTATTTTATTTTTAATGATTTATTATTTTATGTGCACTGGTGTTTTCTCTGCATGTGGTCTGTGGGACGGTGTTGGATCCCCTAGAACTGGAGTTACAGACAGTTATGAGCTGCCATGTGGGTGCTGGGAATTGAACCTGGGTCCTCAGGAAGAAGAGTCAGTGTCAGTGCTCTTAACGAGTTAGTTATCTCTCCAGCCCCGCAAACATTTTCTTTTCCTTTTTTTTCCTTTTTTTTGTGATGGTTTCTCGAGACAGAGTTTCTCTGTGTAACAGCCTTGGCTGTTCTGGAACTCACTTTGTAGACCAAGTTAGCCTTGAACTCACAAAGATCTTTCTGCCTTTATCTCCTAAATGCTGGGATTAAAGGTGTGTGCCACCATTCCCAGCCTTTATTTTTTTTTTATGCATACATGTGTGAGCCTGTGTGAACATGTGTGCACCATGTGCATGCTGGTACTCACGGAAGCTAGATGAGGGTGTTGGATCCCCTGGAACTAGAGTTATAGGTGGTTGTGAGCCACTCAAGGTGGGTGCTGGGAACTGGACTGAGACTGTATGGAGAGAGTGTGCACTCTTAACCGCTGAGCCATAGCTTTAGACCCCTTGGAGATATTCATATCTCAACCCAAGGTTTTAGTCGTATGCTCTTCTGAGGCTGAAAATTGAGGTTAATAGGAGGACTCTGGAGACCAGGCCATGAGCGGGGCTCACACCTGTGGAGAAGAACTGTGAACCAGGTGTCAGAGCAGGGCTCTAGTGCAGTCTGCCAGGGAGGAGGGAGCGACCTTGAGCTGTCCTGCAGCTGCTGGCCTGTTGCCTCCTTTCCAGCTGCTCTCGCCTGGGCTACGGGAACAGACAGAAGGTCCTGATCACAGCCACTCATCCCAGTCCCTCTAGATCCCTGCCCTGACTCTTTCGCTTCCCAATCACCAATTCTAACTCTTTTTAATCTGTAAAGTTTTTATCTGTAAGACTAGTCCCTGCCTAAAGTGCAACTGTGGAGATTAAATGACAGTGTGGTAACATCCTTCAAACATATTAGCTGCTGTGCATTTGGGGGTTTCGAAGAATTTGGTTTTAAATTGTTTGGCTCTCTCTCTCTCTCTCTCTCTCTCTCTCTCTCTCTCTCTCTCTCTCTATATATATATATATATATATATATATATATACATATATGATTTATATATAATAGTGTATATATATATATTTTTTTTCTGTGTTTTGTGTTCTGTTTGGGCACAATGATTCTGTGACTATTAGGGTTCGGGGCATCTGCTGGGATTTTTAGATTTAATACAGGAAACTGAGCAGGCATGTGCGGTGGATGGTAGCAGAAGGAGAAAGATATGCTCTCAAGGTTGGAAGACAGCTAGAGCAGTCTCTGAAAGGATGGTGTGACACAAAGAATGGGGCTCTTTACACCCCAGTCGTATGTATTTTGGGGAGTCATTTGGGCAGGGTCGGCTTCTTGGCGTACGCTCTCTGCTAATATGAAGTTTATAATGAGCTGCGGGCTGGTCACCTTCAGACACTGTGGTGTGCCTCTGCACCTGCAACAGTGGCTCCAACCAGTTCTAGCTGGCCTTGGCTGAGGGTGTGGGGTGTGAGGACCATGGGTGAGGGCGTCTGGCTTTCCTCATTGCCAGTTTTTTTTTTTTCTTATAATAACTTTGCTGCTTTTGCCCAAGGTTTTCCTGACCTTGCTCTCTGCCCTACTCTCCTGTCTCAGTCACACTCTGTAGCCCAGGCTGGCTGGTCTAGAACTCACCACGTAGTCCAGTGTGACCTTGAATCCAAAGCATTCCTCCGTCTCAGGCTCCCAAGGAGTGCTGGGATTTCAGGGGTCGCGCACCAGCTTGAGAAGGATCTTGCAGCATGGCTAGCTAAATACGGGACGTGCCCTGTCAGGCATTTGTAGTTTTCAAAGTAACCTCTAAGAAGCAAATGAGACCTTACAGGTAGGTCACACATAGGCTGCGCTCAGAGATCTTCAGGATATAATTGTTTTTCCAGCCCCCTCCCTCTGTCCCCCAGTAATTCCTCTTCTCCACCCTCCCTGTCCCTTAGCAATTTCTTTTCTTTCCTGATGTCGCATAGTGCTGTTCTGTCGTGGAGTCAAATCTTAACACAGGGAAGGGGTCCTTCTGATCACAGGAGAGTTTTCTTTGCTGTTCTTCTAGATAGGTACCATTTGTGCCTGACTCCCCGGAAATAAACAGAGAAAAGAACCTTTCAGGTTTCAATTCCTGTCGCTCCTCTTTCAAACTGATGCCATTAGAGTTTGAGGGACAGGACTTCCTTTCTCAGGGGAGATGGAATTTTAATAGAAGGGGCATGCCAACCTCTGCTCAACCCACTTACCACCGTACAACTTCCCTTTCTTCTCCCGCAGTGAAACACAGCTTGCACCAGTGAGGAGTTGGTGCCAACCATGGACGAGACCTCTTCGCTAAGCTTTACTACACCCTTTTGTGGAGAGAGGGAGGTGGGAAAGCCCAGCGCTAACCTGTGTCTATTTTCCGCCTCCTCCAGGAGCAAGAACTCTGCCTTTTTCAGTGAGGAGGAAAGATGTTCTCTCTGGGCCCCGGGAAGTGACAGGAAGGCTGAGTGTTCCGGCTTCTTACGTGCGCTTGCTCACACTGACATCGCTTCTGTCTACCGGCTTAGTGAGTGTTGCCCCTCAGACCCGGAGAAGGTGCAGGCTTTCTAAAGGCTAGAAAGAAGTCCATAGCCAGGCTCTCTACATTCTAACCCTGTTTAGGAGTTTGGGGCTGCCAAATCATTATTCATTTGGCTTGTATTTGGTTAGCGGAGTTTCCCTGTGGATTTCAGAGCTTTCTGGCTATCACACATAGTGACATATCTCGCAACTGTGACACACGAAACCAACTTGCCTTTACCCTGGATGGTCAGCTGTATTGACTCTTTATCCCAAGGAAAGGAAGCACTTCCTGAGTCATGGCTAAAGGTCACAGGGCTGGCTAGGCACTAATTCAGAAACCCCACAAGTAACTGGAAAGAGATCTCAGAGATGATCCTGACTCTTGTTTTATTGATTACGAAACTGAGGCCCAAGAATATTAGTACATGACCCAGGACAACTGCTAGCCAGGGCAACCTATTTCACCACCCTGCCCCAGATACAAGACAGCCCTGAGTTGTTGGATGTATCAGTTTTGCCTAGCATAGTTTTTGGCAATGCTGAATGAATGAATGAATAATGAACAAATAAATGATAACAATTTCCTTATGATGGGAAAGGTCCACGGCTTTGTGTGAAGGAGTACAGTTACGCTCGCTGATAAGGCTGAGGAAGGGTTCTTCTTCGCCTACGTTTCAGTGGTAGTAGCTTGTCCGCTTCTATGTGACTGAATTAGACGGTTGACATCTCTTAGCACTAGCCAGAGATTCTCCACAAGGGACTTTCAGTTCAGTTCCCAGAAAGAGAGGGGTTTCGAGGCTCTCTCCATGTATAGGAGCCTTTGTGAGGAGTACAAAACCCAAATATTCTCATTGTAGCAGATCTGTGGGGCTCAGCCAGGAAACTGAAGTTCTGAGCTCCTCCTGGTGGGGGAAGCAGAGCTCTGAACATCAAGGAGTACTTGCTCAAGGAGCAGGGAGGGCAGCCGTGGTTGGTGACAGACTTGGATCCAAGGTATCCATTTACTGCTGGTCCACTGACCGGAAGATCCAAAAGCAGATCCCAGGAAGCCTGTCACTACTTGTATAAAGACCAGGAGTCGACTTGGCTGGCTGTGGGCTATGCCTTAGGCTTGTGTAGACCCCAGCCTCAAGGCAGCCAGTAGGGGAACCAGATTATGAGCCAATGCCAGCTGTTTTAGGGCTGATGCCCTGGGCAAGGAGTGAGTCTCCGAGTTTGCCCCCATCTCGTGATGATACAGCGTGCACTTTCAATGTCCTGGCCCCGAGAAAAACGGCCACATGAAGATAGGCATGTGTTTTTCAGCACTGGGGAGGCTAGGGCATGCACACAGCTTTCCAAGTCAAACTCCTCGCTCTCCCAGCTTCAGTGGTGGGGCCTTTCACCCTTTCGAAGTTGCACGTTGGAGTATCTGCAATGAGGAGCCCAGAAGCTCTCCCCATAGGAGAGCAGGAAAAGGCTGGGCTTGATGGGGACCACTGCTCCTAGAGTTTACTGCTTCAAGGTGTGGGAACCACACTGCTGCTGCGTTCGCAGGGAAAAGTGGACTCTTCCCTCTAGTGGTTGCTGTTCTGAGGGCTGTGTGGCCTTGACCACCACAGGCCCCATTAGTGGGGGGCTTTTTAGTCAAGAACATGCTTCCCTTGCCTTTACTCCCTGCATCTTCTTGGTTCTTACCTAGATTTTTTCCCACTTTGGGAGCATTGGGTAACCAGTATAAGCCACCTGGCCTTTATGATTCCCTCGGTTCTCTGCTTTCTGTGTTTCTTTCTGGAAATATTGATGTGCCTATTAACACACCCCCTCCCCCATCTTTTTCCTTTCCCCTTGAAATCCTTCACCTGTGTGCTCACATCAGTTCTGGGACTTGGGCCAACTCCTTGTGTTTTGGTGTGAGCCACAAATCTGTATTTGCGGTTTCCACTGTCCTCCTTGGCTCTGGACCTTCTTTATTCTCTACCTTCACCCGCGACTAGCTCAAAGTCAAAACATTTAAAACCATAGAGCGTATCCGGTCAAGTTACTCGAGGGAACAAAACTGGGGGCCTTAGGTGCATTTTTGTTCCTTTAACATGAGCTTTCGTGGTGCCCAGTCTTGGCACTTTTTCATGCACACAGAACGCCTGTCTGTCAAATGGGTCGATGATGGGAGGATGGAGTAAAGAAGCAGGTGGGGGAGGGAGAACAGGAAGGGAGCCGGAATGGTACCCTGTAGCACAGCCTGTTGGAGGTGCCCGGTGATGATGGTTCTCTCCAGCTCTGCTATAAAGTAACTGAGAGATTTGAGCCTTGCATCTCCCCAGATTAACACCCCCCGCCCTCCCCTCTGCATGCTCACATTTTCTTCTTGATTCCACATTTTCTTCTCTGACTGCCCCCACTGTAGAGTGTGTGAGTTAAACGGGACGATGGCAACTCTGAAGCTGATGTTGAGGGGGTAAAGACTGCCCACTCTTATTCTTACCTCAACTCAAAAGCTCCTCAGGGGTCAGCGGCATGGTGACGTGTTCTGACCTAATGCTAGGCCTGTCCTTCATCTCTACCTAGGTGAGTTCGAATCCACCCAGAATCTCCAGAATGATCTGAGCGGTGAGTAGCGACCGTGCTGAACCCGACCTCTTGTCCTCAGGTCAGCTCATCTATTCTCTTGCCAGGAGCTGACTGCCCTAGTTGCAGACACTCAGGGATGCTCAACTCTGCCTGTCCTTACAGCATCTCAGCCTGAGGGCCTCAAGGAGGCCAGGTCTGGTGGGACCTGGGAGGAGCGGCAGACCCCAAACTCCAGACGCTCCAGCAGTTCCGTGGACTCCAGCCTCGAGGAAGAGCTCCTCTCAGCCTCCTCTGACAGCTATCACCTTCCAGAGCCTGACAACCTCGATGACCCGGAACTGTTTATGGACCTGAGCACAAGCTTGGAAGAGGATGAAGCAGAGCACTTTGCCCCCATCTTGGCTTTTCTGGATCACGAGGGATACAGCGACCACTTTAAGAGCCTCTATGATTTCTCCTTCTCTTTCCTTACTTCCTCCTTTTACAGCTTCTCTGAGGAGGATGAGCTAGTGGCCTACCTAGAGACCTCACGAAAGTGGGCCAAGATGAGCCACATGACGTGGGCCCATGCCCGGCTCTGCTTCCTCCTGGGCCGACTAAGCATCAGGAAGATCAAACTTTCCCAGGCCAGGGTATACTTTGAGGAGGCCATCCGGGTCCTTGACGGGGCATTTGAGGACCTCTCCCTAGTGTCTGCTCTGTACATCAATTTGGCAGCCATCTATCTGAGGCAGAGGTTGAGGCATAAAGGCCCAGCCTTGCTTGAAAAGGCGGGTGCCCTGCTAGCCTGCCTGCCCGACCGCGAGTTCAGTGCCAAGAACGAGCTTGATGTGGTGGCCTACGTGCTGCGCCAAGGGATTGTGGTGGGGAGCGGCCCTCTGGAGGCCAGGTCCTGCTTCCTGGCCATCCGATTGCTCCTGAGCCTTGGCCGGCATGAGGAAGTTCTGCCATTTGCCGAGCGCCTGCAGCTGCTCTCTGGACACCCTCCTGCCTCGGAGGCTACAGCCACCATGTTGAGTTTTCTGTATGACAAGAAATACCTTCCACATCTTGCAGTGGCCTCTGTTCAGAAACGTGGTCCCCAGAGTGCCCGGGGGATGTCTGTTTCCATTTGGCAGGCCTATTTTGTTCTTCAGAATGCCACTAAGATCCTTGGTGTTCCTTCCTCAAGCTGGGGTGAAGTTTCTGCGCTGGCCTGCCCAACCCTCAGGCAGGCCCTGGCTGCCTGTGAAGAGCAGACTGACCCGAGCACCCAGAGGACCTTGTGTCTCATCCTGTCCAAAATGTACCTCCAGTATAGGTCTCCTGATGGTTCCATCTACTATCTGAGCCAGGCCCAGGCATTAGGGAAGCTACTAGGTGAGCAAGAAGCCTTTGAATCGTCTCTCTGTCTGGCCTGGGCTTACCTCTTAGCCAGGCAGACCAAGAGAGCTCTGGAGATCCTTGAACCACTACTGTGTTGCTTGAGGGAGACAGAATGCATGACGCAAAGGGGCGTGGTCCATAACCTCCTGGGACTTGCTTTTCAAGACGAAGGCCGGACAAACAGGGCAGCCAAGAGCTACCTCCGAGCTTTGATCAGGGCTCGGGAGATGGGGAATGTGCGGAATCAGGCCGTGTCTATGGCCAATCTCGGCCACTTGACCCTGAAGTCCTGCATGCAGCAATCAGCCAGGGGCTATCTTCTGCAAGCTGTCCGACTGTATTCTGAACTCCAGGCCAGCAAGGAGACAGATATGGAATTGATACAAGTGTTACTCTGGTTGGGCCAAGCTCTGGTGTCTGGACAGCAGCTGGTCCACAGCCGCCTTTGTTACGAAATGGCATTGATGTTTGGCTTAAGGCATCGGCACTTAAACAGTGAGTATGTCTCATATTGCTGGAAGCATCGGGGAGAAAAGTATTGGCACATGCTTTGCCCTTGTCTCATTCATGTCCCTGCTTTATGTTCAGGTCAGCTTCAGGTCACCAAATCCCTCTGCCATTTCTACAGCTCGGTGTCTCCAAACCCTGATGCGTGCATTACATATCACGAACACTGGCTGGCCCTGGCTCAGCAGCTCAGGGACCGGGAGATGGAAGGGCGGTTACTGGAGTCCCTCGGGCAGCTTTATCGGAACCTAAATACATCCAGGTGAGTCCCTGCCTTAGGGAGAAGTGGTGTTCTTTCTCTCAAGAAACCAAGTTCAAATGCGCATGCTACGGGGAAATTGTGATGGAAAACCGTGGGTCCTGCAGCTACCTTGCAGCACTGGCTGCTGGGGGTTCTGTGGCCTCAGTCAGAGGTGGATAACAATGGTATTTATCCTACACTACCACTGTGAGAAATGAATGCTTTAAAGTCCCCAAAATACAGCCAGGCTTTGTGATTTTTACCATGTCACTCTGACAAGCTATCCTATGATAGGCTGAGAGTACATAATTCAAAGAGGGCAGTTATGCTGAGGACCTTGGCCCCTTCAGGGGGCTCTTCACTACTTGAAGACAGCTGGGATTCTGGAAAGGACACAAAATAAATCAATACCATGAAGCAGGGCGTAAAATTTTATGGTGAAAAAAAAATGCTTAATTGGGACCTCATCTTTAAAATGTACCCGGGACTCAGGCAATAACATCTACTTTCACCATGTATGGAGCCTCAGAATGACCACAAGGTAGCGGAAGGGTCCCTTGGCCCTTAGCGTCGTGGGAAAACTGGATATTAGCATTTTGTTTTGCTATTAATTTCTTGGTTGGTGCTTTCTGAGAAACCTTTAGTTTTGCAAAAATATGCCCCAAATATGTCCAAGCATATTTAGATCCCTGATACTCAAAGTCTCATCCATGCGTCTTGGCACCTGCTTGCTTGAGCTCTCTGCTTTCACCAGTCCAGGGCACCAGGGTTCTCCTTTACTCATGGGCATTCAGCGGTCCCATCTCTACCAAGCCTTGACGCATTTCGTCAAACCCCACAGAGGTCTTAAAACCTTTCATTTCACTCTGTAAAAGATTCGTGTTCTGATACTCCATTCCCCATTTTGAACAGCTCCTAGAATGAAGTGAGATGCTTTCTAGGGATGAACAGAGAGGCATTTGAGGGGAAACTCATTCAAGGCCAGCTTCTGTATTTTAGGCACAGCCAGAGTTAGGGTCTCTATTGTTGAGATGAAACAGAACCAAAAGCAAGTTGGGGAGGGAAGGGTTTATTTGGCTTCCACTTCCACACTGTAGTCCATCACTGAAGGAGTCAGGATAGGAGCTCAAACAGGGCAAAGACCTGGAGGCAGGAGGTGATGCAGAGACTATGGAGGAGTGGTGTTTACTGGCTTGCTTCCTTTGTCTTGCTCAGCCTGCTTTCTTACCAGCCCAGAAGTGGCACTACCCATATAGGCTGGTTCTTCCTCGATCAATCACTAAATCAGAATGTCCTACAAGCTTGCCTACAGAAAGGCTCTCTCCTCTCAGATGACTTTAGCTTGTGTCAAGCTGACATAAAACTAGCCAGCACAGGCACCATGGTAACTCTGGGTATGTAGGCAATCAGACAGTGGTTAAGCACACGGTGAGCTCTCTTTCTCTATGTATTTCTCCCTGCTCACTGTATTTCTTTTTGTTCCTCCCCCTCACAAAAATCAGACATCTTCTGAGCTCCCCACTGCCTTTGCCTTACGTGCTAAGAGAGAATTTTGACACAAACACCATGTGGTGGTGGTGGGGATGTCAAAGGAAGGCCTGTCCAGCCTGTTCTGCATCCATTTCTGAACATCCTAGGAGTCTGAATGCCTCTGGACAGACCCAAAAGATGGGTTTCAATGAAATTTTGAAATGGTATAGTCATATACATCTTGGAACTTGGCTTTAGGAAAGTCAGGTTTCTAACAGCTAAAGCGAGGATGTCCATGTTACCGTGTATTCTTGGCTTCAGATTAATCCTGTTCTCAGCTCCCGGCCATCCTGTGTTCTCAGTTCTGGTTTAGTTGTCAAGAATACTGAGATCCTAAAGGTGTGTGTGTGTGTGGAGAGAGAGAGAACGTGAAAGAGGGAGAGAGGAAGGGAGGGAGGGAGAGAGAATCGCTGTTCTTAGATGACGCGGGTGGTATAGAGGAGACGTGAACTAGGGATCACAAGAAGCTAGCAGCTGCTGGAATTAGAAGTCTAGAAACCAAGTCCTGCTGTGACTTAATACCACGCCCTAACAAGCCACTGTCTTGGTTGCTGTGTTCATAGAATCAGTTGGAATCAGGAATCTTCCAGTTGAGTCTGAGACCAGCTAGCTATAGCAAGGGCTGCCAGGTTCCTAGTTCCTCCAAAGAAGGTTTTTTTTTTTTCCATTTATTTATTTATTAGAGATTTCTGTCTCTTCCCCGCCACTGCCTCCCATTTCCCTCCCCCTCCCCCAATCAAGTCCCCCTTCCTCATCAGCCCAAAGAGATATCAGGGTTCCCTGCCCTGTGGGAAGTCCAAGGACTTCCCACCTCCTTCCAGGTCTAGTAAGGTGAGCATCCAAACTAAAGCTGTGGGCCTTTTAGATAGGGGCAAAGAGTCAGAGACCTAAGGTTTTTTTGGGGTGGGGTGGGTGGGAGTCTAAATTACTCAAAGTATGGTCAGAATTCCTGTAGGCAGACATTGTGTCAAACCTAGACCCTAGGCCCTTGCTTTGTGCTTGTGCGGGCAGCTGAGTGGTAACCGAGTTGGTTAGCCCACGGGCTCACCACCCTCATGTTGCTGTTGTGTGCTTCCTGCTTCCGATGGTTAAGAGAGTGGGGGTGCTGAGGGCTTAGGTAAGGAGAAAAAAGGGGCTTGGAGTATGGAGGCAAGCTTTCTCGTGATTAGTGACATGTTTAGTGGTCAGTGCCATCAAGGGACGTTCAGATGCTCATCCTACATGTTCTTTTGGATCCTGTCCTATGCACTATTAGGCGTAGAACAGCTTGGAGCACTCCTTAAGGGCTACTCACAAGCAAGGAACCGAGTATTGAATAGATGCCGGGACACAACGATTGGGCCCCAAATAAGGAGTTTTTCTCCCTAAAATAAAATCATTGCTTAGAGTAAAAACAAGATAATTTACCAACACTGAAGATAATACACTGAAAAACAAGAATTCCTTTGCAAGTTTCTATGCCCCAAGTTCCCCAGAAGTAGCTATATACAGTTTAAAAAATATCAGTAAATAGTTCATACATATGAAAGATTATATATCCCATTCTCTGTATTAAGTTCTAGGAATATTAAATATTAAATATATATATACACACACCTTAGTTATATATGTAGGATTATGATAAAAGGTCTATTATACAAAGCTTCCATTTTTTTATTTGAAAGGATGAATATGAAATGCCGAGTCAGCAGTTTTTGAGATAAACTTAGTTTTATTGAAAAAAATTTTCATGATATATATTTTGATCATGTTTTCCCTCCCCTAGCTCCTCCCAGATTCTGTCATTCTCCCTACTTAACCAATTTTATGTTCTTTTTCTCTCTCTTAAAATAAAAAAAATATGAGTCCTCAAGAAACAAAAATGAATGCAAAAATCTCCCATGCAAATGAACATCAAAACAGACAAGTAAGAGACTAATAACTCAAAAAATACCAGAGCAAAGCAAAATGAAGCAGGGTTCAAACAAACAAGAACCCCCCCCCCAGCCCTAAAACCCAAAACAAAAACAAACAAAACAAAACAATGAGTTGGTTTTGTGCTGGCCAACTACTACTGAGCACAGACCCTGTCCTGCAGCAGGGTTAATATACCTACTGTGACTTCATGGGAGAAAAGTGATTTTCCTTTTGCCAGTGGGTGTCATTTTAAGACAGCTTCTTGGTTAGGGGTTGAGTCTAAAGTGTGCATACACTATGGTCATCTAAAATATCTATTCTGCCAGTGTCTACCTCTGTCTGAAGTGTTTAACCCATTCACAGTTAATAATCACTCACAGGTCATCTTTAGATGCTGTTTTATCATTTTGCTGCTTGTGTTTTGTCTCATATCTTTTTTAACTTTCATTTCTTCCAAATTACTGCTTATCTCATGTTAGGTAAATATTTTATAGCACACTGTTTAATTTCCTTCCTTCCAGTTCTTTTCTCAGTCGGTTCCCAAGGGCTGTGATTACTATATTAATCTGTGTCTCTCTCAGGAGTTTCTTCTGAGCGCACATAGCTCTGCACATGTGCCTGGTCTTCCTTCCTGGAGAGGCTGGGGCTTCACAAAGCCCCATGTGGGCATGGTTATATTCCTCCACCTTTGCTTTTATGTGCTTATGCCAGTTCCTTGTAAGTCGTTCCTTTTAGTGACGCCAAGGGCTGAACCCAGGGCCTCACGAATACCCAAGAGAATCTTCAACTGATCTACATGCTCTGCCCTAGATTCCTACTTGTCCCAAATATTTTCTTTTTATCGCCCAGTGGCAATGTTTAATTATCCTTCCATTTGGTTGTTGTTGTTTTCTTTTAAATGAGTAAGCTCTGAGTATTGTCCAGTAAAAATAAGTGTTACAGTATAGGCTTTCAGGGGCCATCCCCAGGGCAACTGACAGTTCTCTGGGATAAAACATGGGGACTACAAATTCTTCCTGACCCCCTCCTCCATCAGGGTTTCCCAGTAACTGACTTTGAGGCTTTGGTTTGATGTTTGTTGCAGGTCTGGGGTGAGCAGGAAGGATCGAGGCTAGGTGAGAAAGCACCCCATCGCAATAAAATTAAGCTGAGATTTGAACCAACTTTCCAGGGAAAGGCTTATTTTGAAAATTCCTTGCTCACGTTTTCATTGCTTTTCTCAAGGCCTGGATTTTCTGAGGTCCTTGCTCTGCTGCTTTAGAAGCTCATTTCAGGGTTCTTTCAGTCTGCACAATTTCATTTGTTTTTATTTTATGTGTAAGGTTATTTCCCTGTATGTATGTCTGCACACAATTTAGGTGCCTAGCGTCTGCTGAGACCAGAAGAGGGCATGGGATCCTTTGGAACTGGAGTTACAGATGATGATAAGCTGTCATGTGGATGCTGGAAACTGAACTCTGCTCTTCCGGAAGAGCAGCCACTCTCAGCCACCGAGTCATCTCCCCAACTCCATGTCTTTTAATTTAAATATTCAGTGGTTCATGTTTTTGAGGTTTTTATTTGAATTCTTTGGAGGAGACATTCACTAACCAACA